TTACATTGGAAAGTACTTCAAAAAACTATCAGCACAACAAATTATAATGTACTGCTTCTCTTTTTTTAATGTAATCCTCTGTGAGTTTTGCTCCTTACAATTCTTTCATCGGTGCAGATGTTAGCAGCTCACATGGGAAAGCTAAAAAAATACCTCCTCATAAAAGCTGTGGAAGAAAGTTAGCAATAGTTCATGTGTTTTAATTTAGGGAAAGTGTATTGCTATTGGTGGTACAGTTGCTCAAGAAAGTTGATTGTAAAAGGAAAGGTTTAATATTTCTATAACTCTGACCTATCATTGCACTTTCTGGTTGATTTGTTTGCAGCTGATTTGTTTTAGAGATGTTACATAAATCTTTCTGTTGTGCTTTTCAATAGATTTTCTGAATTACCAGGAAAAATATTCTAAGAAAATTATTACATTTACATATTATACTCATTTTGTTTGCACATTGTGTGTGTGTGTGTGTGTCTGAATCTTTGGGGAATATAGGCCTCAGACTGTGTATCCATATATAATTATGTCCCACATTTCCCCTCATAGCTCTTGATTTGACTGATGGCTAACAGTAAATATATATAATTATTCTTTCATGCAACTTGGCCGTTAGCAGTGATTTTCATAGCCGTAATTTTAACCGCTGAGGCTGCAAGTCAAGATTCATCACTTTTATTAGGATGCCGAACCTTAAAGGCTTGTGGTTGATGGTGTTGTTAACTCTGTGCATTTCTTAGACGGAAAACTGGAAGTACAGCATTTTTTAATATTGCCCACATGTGGGTGGCTATAAAATACAGGAATGAAAAGTCAGTAGCTGACTAACCAGGTTCTCTCAATCCACTTCAGTGATTAAACATTTTAGTGGCTTCAGGCTGTTTTAATTTTTGCAAAAAAAAAAAAAAAGAATTTATAGAATATTTTGTTCGTTGACTTCTTCATTTTTGGTATTTTAGAAATCTCATTTTTTTCAGTATGTAGACTTTTTTGCATTAATTTTTGTTCAATTTCTTGTGAAAATGCTCAAAATTATACAAACATTGAACCATGGCATTTATATGTCCTGTGCCTTAATGTATCATTTGTTACCAGTATTTCAGACCTTTTTCCTTTCCATCATGTTTTTTTCCTTTCCTTACACCTTTTATTCATTTTGCTTTGTTTTCTTGAACAATTTGAAAGTTGTACACTTAATGATATTTTATGTATTTTAACATTCATTAGCAAAAAACAGATTATTCTTTTTTATAATCACAATATAAGAAGTAAAGACTACTGTATACTATAACTAGCATGTAATCATACTTAAACTTTATCTTAAATAATTTCATAATTTTCTTCTTCTTTTATGTTTGGGATCTGTTTAAATACACCCAACATGCTAGGTTGTTCAGTTGCTTAGACTTTAATCTAACAATTTCCTCCCACGAACTTCCTGGCTCCATGTTTTTTTCTTTGTGGTCTTGAATTATTTCAAGAATTTAGGGCAGTTAATCATCTGGATCTGTTGCACTGTTTTTTGATTAAGCTTTGCTAAAACAATAGTCCTCAAACTTCTGCTTCTAGAAGGTTTGTTAAACATAGATTGCTTTCAGGCCCACCCACTAGGCTCTCAGTAGCTTTGTGTTGGAGCACAGTTCACTGGCAATGCCAATGCTTCTGTCCAGGAACTATACTGTGACAGCTGTTCAACATTTGGGACACAGGTAACGTGTGTTGTATTTATTGCAACACAACGAGGGCACATTATGAAAGCGAGTTGCCCTTGTAATGACAGAGTTTGATCATTAGGTTAAAATGATGACTAGTAATATATCTTTGCATTATAATGCTATATATTTTTTCTTTTTTTGTATTTATTAAGTTATTGTGACATGATTCCCCCAAATTAATAAGTGACCTGTGAGGAAAAGAAATTTGTGTTCCTAAACAACCAACTTTTAGCATACAGTGATCTTTCTTAACTGAATCAGCTGTCATTATTATTGAACAGTTTTTGGACCACTGTTCACCCGTTCTTCTATCCACTCTGGCTTCTGCCCCAAATAGTCCCTTCTCTCTCTGCCTTGTTTCCTTTTTTCCCTCCCTCGCCCTTCCTCTTTCACATACATGTAGTTTCAGTCTCATATTCTCTCTCTCTGTCTCTCTCTCTCTCACACACACACAGACTTCATTCTCTCTCCCCTTCTTTGTCTCAGACTCATCTATCTTTTGAGTTTAGTTATATTTATTCATTTCAGATTTCAACAAAAACATTTATTTCTTTTACTTTCCTCTTTATGCAAAATATTATATGCATACTCTGACAATTTTTTTCCTCTTACCCAGATATCTGAGGCTCTAATGATGGTTCTAGATTATAAGTCAATTTGTGAAATTATAACTACCTATTGTAAATACCTATTATAAAAAGGGATTGTCTGAAATCTGCTATATAATTTCTCCTAAATGAAGACTATAATCTTATTCCAAAGAAGGGAATTTATAAAATTAATAAAATTTATTTAATTAAAATGCATAAGGATAGCGATCTAAACATTTTTTTTAAAGATTTATTTTATTTTTATTAGAAAGGCAGATATACAGAGAGGAGAGACAGAGAGGAAGATCTTCCATCCGATGATTTAGTCCCTAAGTGAGCGCAGCGGCCGGTGCTATGCCGATCTGAAGCCAGGAGGCTCTTCCGGGTCTCCCATATGGGATCCCGGGTGTGCAAGGCGAGGACCTTAACCACTGCGCCATCGTGCCGGGCCCTAAAAATTATTTAGAGTGAGAGAAATGAGTAGAGTGATCAGTTAAAAAAGTTTGGCCACAAGTTGTGATGTTGGATAATGAATAGATACTGTGGAACTCAATATTATTCAATCCATTTATTCTTGTTGTTTTGTTTTTTCTTGAGCTGTATCACTTGTGTCATTAAAATTTTTGTTTTTATTTTATTTTATCATATAGAATCATATTAAATACATTGTGTACATTTTTGAGCCTTTTCCATATGAAAAGGTAAAAAAAGAAATATTTTTAATTTTCTATCTTTAAAGATTTATTATGGAAAGGGAATATAAGCACTTTTGTTCACTGGAAAGAAAAAGATCTGTTCTTCTGATAAAGTTTTATGAGTAGTCAAACAGAATATTAGGTTCCTAAAATACAGTCTTTTTTTTTTTTGGATACAGTTACAGAACTTTAGTATGCATAAGAATCATGTATAGAGCTTGGTAGAATGTCCAATATCTCAATACTTCTCATAATAATTTAGAGTGCCTTGGCATAATTAAAAGTTTACATTCTAAACCCTCCCTAAGTTTCCAGTTCCAGTGTATCTCATTGTGATGTACATTCTTCTATGTGGATTTGCCTTGAGAGCATTGTCACAAACGATGGATTATCATAGTTACAAAGATTCTAGGCTGTGTTTCCTACAGAAGCTTGCAAACTAGCAGAGAAGGGCAATGTTCAGTAAGTGCTATAATAGGAATAAACAGCGCTGGACTAATTCCATATTCTCTTGCTAGCTGACAGTAGCAAGTGAGGATCATGTGGGAGCAATTTGTTGTCTGGATGAGTTGGAGTAAGGGGGAACTTTGAAAATGTAGAGGAATATACTATCATTTGTTTTTCTAAAGAATTAAATATTTCAAACTCAGCAAGTGCCGAAATTTTCTTTTTTAGATGATGTATTTGATGAATGCTAATTGACTGTAGAGGTAATTGACTATAGAGGATTCAGTATATTTTGAAAACAAAATGTACAAATGGCAAATATAGTATAAGATGAGCACACTGCAGTTCAGAGGATCAAGTAAGTTCGGTATCATGGTAGACCTTAGGGAAGCTCAATTGCAATAGGCAGGCAAATTTAGCATTTTAATTTTTCAGATCTATTCTGAAACGTTCACAAATAAGGTTATTAAGAACCTAGAAGATTGAGAACCCAAGTGTCATTATCAGTCTGCCTCATTCCTGAATTAAAATGTTTTCTATGTAGCATTTTATACTCTTCTGTATCTGCTGTGAAATTTTCACTTTTTTTAACAGCTGAATTTGTGATGATACCCTTGTTTTGGTAAAAAGAATACAGCTTTAAAGGTGATGACTTTTACAACTAATTCATAGCTGTAAATCATGTAACATATCCATAAGTGGTCAAATGCTTTATCTTTTAATGTAGAATTCAATTACTACTGATGGTGCTATTTTTTTTTTCTAACACTAGTAAGGCAAGAGAAAGCTACTCCTTGTCAATCAGTGAAGTTAGCAGTACTTACTTATTGTTGTATGTGTATTTAAAATACATTATGCAACATGTACCAGCTCCTAAATTAAGACTATAATGTTATGCCAAAGAAGGGAGATTTTAGGGTACTGGAAAGCAAATTCAGTTAATCCAGTTGCTAGACCAAGTTAGATTATATGTCATCTGCTACTATTCTGTTTGTGATGAATGATTCATCTCTTATCTTAAATGTGGAGAATCCAACGATTTTTAACAGCCAGGCTGAAATCTTTCAGAGGTAGTGGGTTATGAGGAGTTGGGGGATTAATCCTGATGATGGACAATTACATTCGTCCCCATTTTGAAAGAAATGTCAGCACTAAATAGAATCACTTCCTGGTGTGTTAGCAGTGTTCAAGAAGTGCTTTTTGTTCTGAATGAAATCAAAGAAGGATGAAAGATCTCTCTTGCATGACTTTGACATTTTGAAAAGTTTGGGACTGGATGATTACTTTTAAACTTGGGATTTAAATCTGTATGATATTTCCTCATGACTAAGCTAGGGTTCTGCTTTTTAAATTGTTTTCCTGATGTGAAATTATGTCCTTTGCTGTAAAATATGTCAGAAGGGACATAGTGTGGCTTTGTAATATTAATTTGGAAGGGTTACCTAATGAAGGTGATGTTTGTCGAGGAGTCCCAACAGTTAGAAAAGTAAATTTCTCAACACATATGTTGACACGTGTGAAATATTCTGTTTCTCATCAGATTAATTTTTTTTAATTGAAAAAATGTGGAATGCTTCACAAATTTGGGTGTCATCCTTGCACCGGGGCCATGCTAATCTTGTGTGTATCATTCCAGTTTTAGCATAGGTGCTGCCAAAGCGAGCACTCATTCACTGTTTTTAGCATCATTCAGCAATTCTTGTCTGAACCATACCCAGATAAATCTTATTTCTTTAACCAGGACTTAACTGTTCTTTCTCTCTCTCCTGAATGGTTCCTTGAAAACAGTTTTATAACTCTACTGTATTCAAAGTTTCTTTCAAAGTTTTAGTTAGTTGACTCAGAAAAAAAAAAAAAAGAAGGAAGAAAGAAGGAAAATCTTCCGTTGGTGTAAACAGAGACCTGGTGTTGTGCCTCTCCCTCCTCGTCTTTGGACAGGTGCTTGTTCTCTCCCAGAACTTTTACTGGATTAAGCTATCAGTTTGTAATAGAAGATATTTCATATGACATTTATGGTTTGTCCTAGATTTTCCTCTGTCTATAACTAGTTTTCAACAAAACTTTTTTTTTTAAATGACCACACTCTCAAATCCTTCCATTTACAAATCTTAAATTTAGGCATTTCATTTTTCTCTTTGTTAAAGACTTTTTCCTTTTTCTTACTGTTTTAAATCCATGGCTCTTGGTCTCTAAATCTGCTATGGCCTGTTTATATCTCCTTTATTTAAACTTCTAAAAACCATCATCAGGGCTTTTAAAACTTCTTTCAGTATGAACTATTCTAATTTTAAGCCTAGTTTCCAGTGGTTGTCATTTTTGTTTTGTTTTTCTTGAAATGCAGTTTACCACCAATGGGCTAATTCTGTACTACTTGGGTCTAATCCTTCTGCTTCCAGGGAACTGATTTGTGTCCATTGGTCTGTGTTACTGTTTTTAAATTTCAGTTGTATTTCTCCACTGTTTGTAACAAGTTCACTTTGTCTTAAAAAAAAAAACTTAAAAAATTGGTTATTTTTGTATTGATATATTTCCCAGAACATTCAATTAGAGGTTCTTAGTATGTTTTCTTTCCCACCTTTTAGAATTCGCTTTCCTCTTGTGGTTTCTATGGCTGTGTTTATATTCCCACAAAAGTTCTCCATGGTGTCCCTCATAAGAAACAGAAGGTACCTTGCAGGGCACAAGCTTGAGATCTTTCCTGGCTACACATCATAGGAAGATGCTTTCTTGAACTTACCTGCTACATCCTGAGCTGTGTTGCAAATATTTGCTTATCCCAGTGGAAATCTTTCTCTTCCCTGCAGTCAAATGTACCTTATACAGACTGCTGGGTATTGTGCATTTCACGTGAGAGAATTCTGCAGAACGTGGCCATAGATAGCCTAAGAGCCTGTGAAGTCGTGTGTGTAAATTTGTGTGCTTTTCAGAGATGGTTTATAGTTTCACCGAATTCTCAAAAGCATCCCTCTTCCCTTTTTCAAGTTCTGGTTCAAGTTCATATCCTCCAGGATCCAAATCCAGCCAGGCAATTTGGCTATTTCTTCCTCTCTTCCCTCCTCTCTTCTCTCCCTCCTTCCCTCCCTTCCTTTCGTCTGAAGAAGCAGGTCGTCACTTCACAGATTCTTCCTTCTGCCGTGCCGTTCCTGGAGCACATGCTGAGTTTACCCTTTGCCAGGTTACCCAAATTCTGAATAATTTCCTTGCCAGTTTTACATCCTTTTGTTATAATATTCCAAAGAACTGTTTTTCAATTCTCAAATCTTGTCAATCCCTTAATTCCAGTGGTTTTAAATAATGTCTTGGATTAACTCTGTTGAGCAATTGCTCTCCTTTTTTCATTGACAGATAATTTCAAGTGGTTTCCTCTTAAAAATGTCTTTGTGGGGGTGCTTCTCTCCCAGAAAGTGCATAAATGTTCTTTCCGCTCTTCCTTCTGTCCCCTTGGCCTTCTGCAACCCAGCTGGAAGGCAAAACAGAGAAGTTAAAAATGTGTGTCTCCTTTCCTTTTCTGTCTTCTGCATCCCCCTTCACAACTTTTAAAAACTGCTTTCCTCTAACCTGCCCCAGTTTTTCAGATCTGTACTCTTTCCTCCCTTCAAAGTTTTCACTTCAAGCTGACACCTGACATTTATCAAAATCCTGAACCTGAAAAAAAAAATGCTGAGATCCACATTTGCAAACTCTTTTATTTCCACCTCTGTTGCCCTTAACCTTGCATTTCTTGTTAGGCAGGCTTTGCCCTTGTGTAACTTCAGTAAGATTGCACCGTGCCTCCCTTACTCCGGCCTTTCCTCTTCCTCTGTCGCCCCTTCTATCCACACACTGCCTTCTCTCACTTCTGCTACTACTTTCTCCCCTTTCTTCACAAATTTCTCTCCTTGCTCATTCCCCACTGATAGTCTAATTCCTCCTCTCTCAGTATGTTCCACTCTCTTAAATGAAAGTAACTTATTTTGACAGTATCCCAAGGAGGTAGTGAGAATAGATACAGTGCGTACTGTATTTTACCAAGAGAATAATAATAATGGAAGCTTGCAAAGTTTAACCATCTAACCCAAACTCTCCTTGTCATATTCAGTTTAGCTAATGACCTCCCTTCCCTCATGGATCTGCAGGTGGAGATAACAAACTGAGGCTAATGTCCTAAGAACAACTATATGCACCCTTTCCAGAAAGATCAATTTCATGTTTTTACAACAAACCATGCAAAGCTTGAAGAATTCCTGAAAAAAAATCTTTGTCCAGAAGTTGGACCAGTTTATTATTTAACATTACTTAAAAAGAGCATATCTAATTTAGGTAATGGAAATTTTCCTTTCATCAGTGAGAATTGAACCTGTCATAAGAGAGGCTGTTTTAATTACTGTGGAGCACTGTTTTCTTCACATGCTGAACTGAAGGAAAGTCTTAGCATATATGAAAGCTGAAGTGAGGATGGTGTCTAGATTATACAGACATAGTGATGGTGTGAGTGCTCGAAAATTGTTTGCTATATTCTTTTTCCTTAAAGATTTTTAATTTTTTATTGGGAAGGCAGGTTTATAACAAAAGAGAGACAGAAAGATCTTCCATCCACTGATTTACTCCTTAAGTGGCCACAACAGCAGAGACTGAGCTGGTCCTAAGCTAGGAGGCTGAAACTTCCTCGGGGTCTCCCATGCAGGTCCAGGGTCTCAAGGCTCTGGGCCATCTCCAACTGCTTTCCCAGGCTGGGAGCTGGATAGGAAGCAGAGCAGTCAGGATCCAAAATGGCACCCCTATGGGATCCAAGTGAATGCGAGGTGAGGATTAAGCCACTAAGCCATCATGCCAGGCCTATGTGTAGTATACTTTTAAGAAACTGTAAAAGGACTGCAGAGTAAATAGTTGGGTGTTGTCTTATTGTCTCAAATGTCTGGCTGTCTGTTGAATTAAAAGGACCCAAACTTCAGTCTGTTGTAGAGAAAGAGTTCATGACTGATTTTAGTAAACATCTAGCAGAATTACCTCCAGATTACACCACTCATATAGCAATGGGAATGAAAATTGAGCCAAGCTCTCCAAACCCACATCTCTTGCTCTTTTGATGTATCTCCATCATCACTGGTAATATTACTCCTTGAAATTAGTTCCTCTGCCAGGCCAGATTTCATATGGATCACTCATATTGATAAAGAAGCAATTTTCAAGTAATCTCGAGTCTCTTCAGAAGCAATACAACAAGTATTTTCTTTAATTACAACTTTAAGAAAAAAATTAATTTGAGAAGCAGGGAGAAAGCTTCTGCCTGCTCTTTTACCTCCTAAATGTACAAAACAATCAGGGTTGAATCAGGTCAAACTCAGAAACCAGGAACTCCATCTGAGTCTCCCATATGGAAGGGACAAAACCACTTGAGCTATAATCTGTTGTCTATTCAGGGTGGGCATTACTGGGAAATTGGATCAGAAACAACTGAACTTCAAATAAATGATTTAATGAGATCTAATGGAAATAATAAATGGGATTCCATTCATTGTAAGATTTTTACTGATTTAAATCACTAGTGTTAATGCTTTCTACTTTTGCTGTATCCCTCACTGACTCAGAAGTGCCAGAAGGGTCAGCATGAAATGTTTTACTAGTTGTTTAGGTGAGCAAATATTCAACCTGTGTACTATGTGATAAGCAAGTAGAATCCTCTAACATTTTTTCATATTTTTTTTTACAACCCAGTTGTTAATAATTTTCCAAAATACTTTTCTATATAATTTCTTACTGTGGAAATCTCTCTCCACTGAAACTAATAGCAGTACTGTTAAAATCTGAGTATCCTTTCAAAATCTTTTACCATTAATATATGTGCTTATCAGAATCTACATGTTCACTGTTTTCTTTTGTGTGTTTCTACTGTTCATGTCACTGCATGGCTCTTGGTATTCGTATTATAATAGTCTCACAATGGGCAATAGGTTTTGTCACAGTTTAATTTTAGGGTTAGAAGTCAAAACATAGTCACTAAATTGTCTTCAAATATTTTCCATCTTGTTTATGATCAGCCAATATTCAGAACTATTTAGGAAATTTTTATGAGCCAATTGTCAGTGGTGGTAAAAAGTAACATTCATAAATATAACCCAGCCCCCATTACAGTTAAGGAAGCAATGAAAACATTTGGGATTTCTGCCTATCAAGATTTGACCCTATTATCAAAGGTAGGACAAAGAAGATAGGAGAGATGAAAGGAAAGGAAATTATATTATCCCACAAAACAGACCTGAACTTGTAGGTATATCTGTGTAATATAAGACAATAGTATTGAACTGTGGTAGAAAAAGATAAGAAAATATGTCCGACCATCTTAAAAAATAAATGCTCAGAGAATAATACGAGACTCTACAAGAGAACAGTTTGCTGAGTGTTAAAAAAATCATAGAATATTTAATGTCATACCTATTCATTGACCAGTAACTCATGTTCTACTTATATACTACTTTTTGTTCTTAAATATAATGTCTGTTAACATCAGGTAATGTGCTGCATCAGATGGGGGAAAACAAGATTATAATGTGCTTAAGCTTCTATTAAATATCCATTTGCCACATTAATTATCTACTCTGCAAGGATATCAAAAGATCTGTCATTGATGGAAAAATTTATAATACACATAACCCCTATTAAACAGCCATTTATTATCTATTCTAACTA